CGAAAGGATAACTAGTAGCTATCAAATAAAACAAAAGCAAACATATACTACTTTAATAACTGCTGAAACAAAATTCAGTGACTTCCTAATTGTTTACATCTAATCTTTTATGAATTGAACAATAAGGCCAACAAAGATTGACCCGTGACATTTTATTTAACTCAACAAGAACATACACATACTTATACCAATATCAAACCTTTTAACAAGGCCAAACTTCAAGGACTTAAAAAGATTGAAAATACAAGCAGAACAACATGCCGAGATGATCAGAAAAGAGAAATAGGCAACAACTTTGAAAGCAAACTACAATCTGGACAGTAACATGACTTCACACCTTATAAGCTTAATTACAAACAGTGGGCATTTTTGACTAAAATTTAGGCAGATGGAAACATAAATTCGATTCGTAGAATGATAAGGGGATTTGAAAACAAGCTACTACATCAACAAAACAAAAACACAAACAATTTTCACCTTAGTTAGCTTCAAGATTCTATCCTTATTTTGAAAAGAAAGCATCATTAACAGTAGCAAAACTGAATGTAAAACCTGGGCTTACAGACAATGAAAATGAAGAACAGAGATTCTACCACATATCGAAGAGGAGTCACCCAAAAAGGATTCAAACAAAGGAACAAATAAGCGACAATACTAAATACTAAACGACAAAACCCAACTTCCACATTAATATGAATCAAGGAAATCCATTAAGAACACATATATAGCAAATTGAAGTCATCAGTTCTCATCTACAAACAACAGTGACACAACAACAGAGTAGCGAGACATATCAGAAATAGAAGAAGACGAGGAGAAGATTATGAAGGAAACGTTACCTTTCTCTGGGCAGCGACCAGACAGTGACCAGCTTGGAGACTACTTCACTACCAAAATTTCTCTGGGCAGCGACTAGACAGTGACCAGCTTGGAGACTACTTCACCACCAAAATAAGATTTCAAGAATTTCGTCGAGCAAAGCAGAAGCAAGAGAGGTTAGAGACTACAAAATTTTTGAAAAATATTCAAAATCAGAAATTAGAGCAAAGTAGAAGCAAGCGAGTGCACTAAGTTTAATTTTGGCATATCCCCTGATAACCACATCCCGTTCCCCAGTTGTTTTTCACCAAATAGAACTTAACGCCCTCCTCTTCATCACACTAGAAGCTCACCGAACAGATGAAAAAAGAGAAATTACCAAAGGCAGAAACTAACCTTTCACTTGAGGATGAAGGAGACAGGAGCAATTTCACCTTTCGCCTGAGGATGAAGGAGACAAGAGCAACTTCACCTTTCACCTGAGACGGGAGCCATTTCACCTGAGACGGGAGAAATCGAAAGGAGAAGGAGACGGAGCTTTCACTAAGAGAAATTTTACCGGATACAGAGCTTTCACCAAGAGCTTTCACCTGAGCTTCTGCTAGATGGGAGCTTTCACTAAGAGAAAACCCTATTTTTACGGATAGTAATTTTTGTTCCTTTTGTGTTTTCTATGGACTGATGACTTGGTTAAAAAAATTGCAACAAACTTAGCGACGGATTATGACATCCGTTGCTACTAAATAAATATAATTATTTACATTAAATTTTAGCGACGAATATTTCCGTCACTACATAAATTAAATTCCCTAAAATATATTTATAATTCTAGCAACGCTATTTCGTCAGTAATTCCGTTGCGGAATATTAATAAATTTGTAACACCTACTTTGTTGCAAAATCCGTAGCGAAAATTAGG